CAGCACAGTCAACCTGTGGAATTCATTGCCACTGGAGGTTGGAGGCAGACAGCACAATAAGGTTCAAAAAGAGAGTAGACAGATTAATGGATTTATAAATAGCTACTAAACAGAAAAGACAGGAATATGGAATATATCCTCCAACATCCGTAAACTGATGATGGATAGATCACTCCAGATCAGTGTTTCCCAAAATGTTGATACCTGGGACACTTATTTGTGCATTAAAACTGCACTTCACTCATCTGGAAAGGTATATGCATTTCCCCCCCTCCCCCAGCCCCCGTTTGTTCCCCCCACCCCCCAACAACCCTCCAGCCCTGCTGGTGCCCCTCACCACCAGCTTTGCAGGAGGGGGCTCCGAGCTGCCAGGGCTATGGGTCCAATGACCTGGGTCCACAGAGGCTGCTGCAGAGCCCAGCTCCCCCCACTGCTACCTACCCGCTAAAGACAGGGGGTGGGGGGAAGAAGAGGAAGGAATTGGCTCCCTGCCACTGTGCACACAGGTAGCAGTGGGGAACCAAATCTGTGCAAGGGGCAGGAGTGGGTGTAGGCTGCCTACTGTGGGCTCCCATCCTGCTGCCCTCCCCCAGAGCCTCCACAGCCCAGCAGGTGCAACCCAGCGGTGCAGAACGAAGCCATGAGGGAAGCTTCCTGCCACTGCAAGCTCCACCCAGCCCTGGTGACATCTGATTGAACCCGTTTTCTTTAAAGTATGCATTTCTATGGAATAAGTTCAGTAAAACAACAAGGACCAGGTCATATCAATGTGGACTATTTCAATAAGCATTTTTCAGTAAAAATAAAAATGAAATTAAAAGTTTTAAGTTTTCTATAGATGGGAATAATGTAATTTTGTAGCAAGTAATGCTGGCAAAGCTAGTCTTCCTCTTCTACTGATCCAAGCATGACACTGTTTTTCAAATCTCTTTGCATATTTATTCTTCCAGTACCAAGTTCCTATACTCATTACAACTCTATCCTTACATATGCTTCTTTCATCTATGCACCCTCTCCAAAATCCTTTAAATTGTTCCTCTCCCCACCCCCTGTATCACACTTCCACCCCCACCTTCTGTTATGCCCAGCTGGCCCTTTCTCCTTTTCCTTTCAGATCCACTATTTGAAGTCTTCCTAAATTATTCTTACCAATATTCCCATTCCTACATATTGGGCTGCTGAACTGTATAGGGTAAAACCCTGGGTTTTCCTCCCATCTCACTCATGACTGTCAAATATTGTATACAATAGTTCAATACCGAGTTATTCTTCTCTAACAACAACAAGTTGCAATGTTTCAAGATCGTAGTCTCTTAAACAGGTTTTTAATAAATGGAAGTCATAAAATGCAAAATAAAGCTGAAATTCCAGTTGGCACAGCCAACTTTTAGTAGAGGTTAAATTATGACATCCCATGACTGGAGATGGAAGGATGAAAGGAGAGTATTAGTCATACTGCAATGTGTGCAGTAAGACTTTCAAAGGAATTATTTTGTTATTCATCTCCAGAAAGTTTACTTGGTATCACTTCCTGTAAGAGAGTTATCATGGAAGCCTGTTTCACAGGTCTACAAATTATGATATTATAAAAGATGCAAGCTGTGAGTCGTTACAAAATAAGTTAGTTGTAAGTTTAAGCAAAAATGCTGTCTAGCTCAGACTTAAGGGCACCTTATAGAATTAAAAAAAGAAAAGCTGTGGGTTTCTTCTTAAGGTAGGAAGATTGTAGTTTAACTGACATCTCCCTATCTGCATACCAAATCAGTGATTTTGAAGAAGGAACTGCATGAGAATCAAAACTGTGACCTAAATGAAACAGCTCCAAAAGTTAGAAAAGGCTCTTTACAAACCTCTCTCGTTCTCTTTGTTACCAATCAATCTCCTAGTTTCATTTTTAGTAATATAAAAGATACGCATTAAATGTTTTCTCTTGTGTTGTGCTTGCTCACTTTAATGCAGGCTGCCAAGCAACTGGTGAAAGTATCTTTTGGACAAATAATAGGTAGCTGTGTGTTAGTGATGCACTATACTAGTTGCAAACTCCTATAATTTTCAGTCCATAAAAACAACTGCTTAGGCAGTTTCACCCCAGGAGAACTAAAACCTATAATTCACCACAAGTGTCCTCTGTAACTTAAAACTTTTTAAATGCATCTAACCCTGCTCTGAGTATAGTGAAAAATATGCCAATCATCAAAATCTGACTTCCACTTATGTGTGTGTAGAAATATTAAGTTTGTATTTTGTTAGTGTACACAAGGCCCAGTAGTCTGTTCCTACTGGAGATCACTGACTGATGAAGGAACAGGAGAGGCAGCATACGCAATAAGTGTACTACAGCCAAACTACTGGATTATGTTTTCAAAGACGTACACTGGAAGATTTCCACAGTTTATTCTGAGGCAGCATAAATACCCATACTAATCATAGTGTAAGGATTGTTCAAAACGTAGGAAGCCCCACTAAGCTAGTACTCTTACATGAAGGTAGAAAAGCATGTTTCAAACTTTCCAATCTCAGCAGAAGAGATGACAAGAAACTGCTGAACTGTAGTAAACAAGATTAAGTAACTAAAGGACAAGAGCCATATCTCTAGTATTCTGCCTGTTTAGGACTCTCAATGATAGCCTAAGCAAGGGAAGAAGCTCAGAGAACAAATTTGGGATGTGAAGTTACATTTTTCTACTCTGCTTGTTCTCCAACTTTTTAGTTCTTTCACTGTTCTGGAACTGAAGAGTCAAAGAAAATGGTAGTAGTGCATCCTTCTTGATGACTTCACACAATCTGACGGTCTGTCTAGCTTCTTATATGGAACCTACTATCAAAGCATCTCATACTGATGAATTTGCCTGCTCCAAATCTCTAGGAAAATTACTTTTCTAACCTACAACATACACATATAGAATAGAATCATAGTAAGTTACTTGAAGTCACAAGAATCTGTACTTCAGACAGGAATTTCACCCTTGCTTCCTAAGACCAAATACTTGCCTTTGCTATAAAGTCAATGACATCACCATTGAGTAAGGTTGTCTGGGAACTGAGAAAGAGGGTGTCCTATTTATAAATTAAAACATGTACATACTGCCAAATCTCTTTTCCTTCATTTTTTCCTTTTAAGTTTTTGTACTTTGCCTTGAAAATTTCATCAGAAAAAAAATATCAAACCCAAAACACAACATTATGTACAGAGTATGCAAAGGTCCGATTGTGTCCTGTTTCTGTGGAGCCAAATGATAAAACCCCATGCTTTAAGTGAATGTAACAGTAACAATGCTGTATACTAGGGTTGTGCAAAGCTTTGGTCACCAATTCAATTCAGAGGAGATTTGGTGGCCAAATCTCCAAATCCGAATCAAATCAGGAGACCCATAAATCTCTATGAATCGAATCAGAAGCCTGCGAATCAATTGGAGAGATTCATCCATAGACACAGCATTATATGTTTTTTTTCCCCTACATACCTCGAGGTACCAGGCGCGGCTCGTGAATGCTGAGATAGCGGGGTGGATGGAGCATTCCACAGGAGGGCAGGGGGTCCCCCATGCACTTGGCAGCAGACTTCGAAACGGACCAGAAGTACATCCGGTCCACTTCTGGGTCCACTGTGGACCATGTGGGGGGGCCCCCCCAGCTCAGCAACTGGTGCCTCCTGGGTCTCCCTGCAGCTGATCACTGAGCTGGGGAGGTGCTGGAGGGTTCCCCAGGCACTTGGCGGTGGACCCGGAATTGGACCAGAAGTACTTCCGGTTCACTTCCAGGTCTGCCACCAAGCACACGGGGAACCCCGCTGAGCTCCTGTGGGATGCTCCCATCCGCCCCATCATCTCAGCATTCACAAGCCGTGCCTGATACCTCAAGGTACATAGAAAAAAAAACCCAAAAAAACCCCACACCATATAAAGCTGTCTATGGCCAAAATCGCCAATTCTCCTTCAGATTCAGATTTGGCCAAATCAATCGGGACAGTGATCCAAATCAGTGAATCAAATCACTGTCCCCCGAATCAGGCCGAATCTGAATTGAATATTGCCCGCTTCGCACACCCCTACTGTGTACCCCTTCCATTTACTTAAGTCTGCCAGTAGTTTTGCACATTGCTTTAAAATCACCCACCCCCATGGAAGACTGACATAAAATGTTCAGGATCAAGTCTGGAATTTGCAGAAGGAGGTTACAATGACATTTATGTTCAATACCCCCTCAGATTCACAGATTCTAGTAATAGCAGTTCTTAAAAGATCCTGTTTCCTATGGAAGCAGATATATGTCTGCACCATGTAACAAAACTAGACAGGCTTTTGATCTCCTTTAGGCTAGAGACAGCAATTACATAAACCGGTTCAAATATGTAACATAACAAAAGTTCAGTGCACACAACCTGCTTTCAAAATGACTGAAACTGGTTTAATATAAACCTGAATGGATATAGTATCAGACTTCACTGATTCAAATTAAATCAGTTGACTGAATTTGTCCCAGCTCCCTGCCAGATTCAAGTTAACTCACAGTCACCCAGCACCCCAGGATGCTTTGTACCTCCACTGCAACCCTTCCCTCCCCCCCTGCAGGGTGGGTTGGCTAGCCTTGACCCAAGCCATTTGCTCCAGCAAAGCAGGGAGGTGTGCTCTAGCACCCCCTCAACTTCTGGCCTGTAGCACTGCAGGCATGTGGCTGCATTTCCTGAATCAGAAGCGAGTGTCTCTTCACATGCTTATCAGTTCACTCTGTGCAGCTCAGAATAACCTGCGAAGGGTGAACTGATTCAGCCTGGGCTTTCTGACTGTCTGTACTTAGCCTTAAAGATTCGCTTAACTATACACAGATTTGTGTTCCTGGATATGCTCTCAATAGTACCAGGTAGCATTTTGAAACGTTATTTTCAGGCTATACTATAGAACAAAATCTAGAAGGCTGCACTTTGACAACAAATAAGAAACAAACAAAAAACACATGCTAACCTAAACAAAAAACAAGTAAAATGTTTCTTGTTAACTTACTAGCTAGTTTAGCCTGTAATCCTGATGGTCCAGGTTTTGCTGTTTCTGACTTCGAAGAGCCTGGTAGAGACAGTTTTGTTTTAGGCAGGCTAACTTTGGGGCTGAAGCGAGCAGCCCAATCAAACTTCGAAGAGCCACCCGCTTTACTCTGTTCTTTATCTCTGCTGCTCCTTCTGGGACTGGGACTGGATGCAGAACGGGAACGCCTGGCCTTGCTCTGGTCTTTTCCTTGTTTCACTCTAGCACCCTGAGGTACAGTAGAAGAAGTAGAGCCAACAGCAGAAGAGGAAGAGGATGTAGAAGCTGAAGAGGAAGAATCAGTGATGGTGCTACACCCAGCTTTGGCTGAGGTCACTGATTTTGAAGCCAGCTTGGTGGGTTTTGCTGACCTCTCTTCAACGCCAGTTGATTCAACTGCT